TGTCAAAGTACCACAAATCATTTTGAAAAGCAAGCAACGAGGTATGGGCAACAAGACAATTAGCACTGTGCTTAGGTTTCCACATTTTATGGTTTTGAACGAAACTTTTTTTATGTGATGACCTAAGAAACTGAGGTGGAAACCTTACTATATTAAAATCATTATTTCCAATGCATCTTTTTAAATATAAAATGAGTTTAAAATAGTTTGTTTTGATATGACCTTTCTTTTGGCAAAAATGATAGATAAGAGTGAAACGTTTTACCATCAAGGTTTGATCATGTAGGGTAGCAACTGATTCAATGGCTTTCACAAAGGTGGTCACCCTAGGTTTGGAAGTGCTAACATCAAGAGAGAATCCCAACCCTGTTTTATCACCAAACATCTTCTCTTGTCCAAGAACTTCATCAAGCTTGTATGAACCTTCATTTAACCTTTCAACAACGACCTTGGCTTATCTTCTAACAAGTGAGTTTTTTCAGATTCAAGAGATTTAATTCCCTTGATGCCTTTTAACTAAGCTTCATACATCTTGTCATATGCTTCCAATTGCTTTTTATAAACATCACTAGAGTCATCCAAGGGCGCACTGTTACTGTCCTCTTGATTAGCTGTAAAGCTTAGAATTGTTCATTTTCTAGTGTGTCGTCACCTTCACTTTCAGAGTTGTCATTTTCGCTCAGGATGGCAGCCATGGCTTTTCCTTTTTTCTTAAGAGTGTTTGCACACTCATATTGAATATGGCCATAGCTTTCACACTCAAAACATCCCTTTATTTTTCTTTTCATTTTCCTTCGAAAATCTTTTAATAAATCCTCCTTGACCAGATTGGTCATAAAATCTTTTGACAAAAGGTTGTTTTCCCTTTTTAGCCACATTCAGTTTTCTCATGTTCTTTTTCAAGAATTTCAAAAAAAATTTAGTGATTAAAGCAAGTTTGTCATCTTGATTATCACTAACATCACAAATAACTGGAGAATCATAAGTTGCCTCATGCTTTAAAGCAAGCCATTTACCTGATTTCTTATCCCATCAATTCAGGTTGAGTTCAAAGGTCTACAGAGATCCAATCAGTTCATCAAGTTGCATTTCATCCAGGTTGCAACATTCTTCAATAGAGGTTGCTTTGGACATAAATCTTTGAGGTAAGGAGCATAGCACCTTCCTAACAAGTTTAGCATTAGAAAAGATTTTTCCTAAAACAAAACACTCATTAGTGATATCACACAATCTGCCATGAAAATTAGTAATGGTTTCATTATCATGCATAATAAGATTTTCATAATCCATGATTAATCTTTCTTAGTCTGGTCTTTTTCACAATGTTAGTTCCATGATTTGTAATTTGGAGTCTATCCCATGCATCTTAGCCCTTGCACAATTTCCAATGTTTTTAATTTGTCTTATGCTAACAGCATTAAGGACGGCATGAAGTGCCTTAGAGTTAAAATTAGGTGCTTCTAACTCCTCCTTGGTCTATTTATCAATTAACTTCCCTTGACTCCCACTAGCTTCATCAGTTTTAGGTTCTTCCCATTCAACCAAACACGCACGCCAAGCCCTCTCATCAATAGATTTTAGGAAGGCACACATCCTAGGCTTCCAAAACATATAGTTGGTTCCCTCTAACAAGGGTGGTCTAGTGATAAACCCTCCATCACCAAAAGAACCCATGATGAACAAACTGTCAGTGATCACACACAGGACGGCGAAGGTCATTTGTAGAAACGAAAGCCAAAAAGAATAGGAACAACATAGCAAAAACAACACGGGGTGATCACACCATCTCCAAGGTGGTCATCTAAGGTCTGAAGCAAAAAAATGCAGAAAAATGCGAAAAATAAACCAGAATAAGTAGATCAAAAAGATAAATCAACAAGCAAGGATCAATTGAAATAACTTTCCTAAACAAGCTCTGATACCAACTAAAAGTTTTAAATTTATCAAGTGATTTAAAACTTAAGTGAAAATGGTTGCTATGTCGATTTTAAGAGTCCATTATACACAAACATAAAGCAACAAACATAAACCAAAGTAAAACACACAAGATTTTAACATGGTTCGGCAAAATGCCTATGTCCATGGGACCAAGTCTAGAATGAAGCTAATCCACTAGGTTTACTTTACAGTTTAATTACAAAGTTAAAGATTAAGCCTCAGTTGCCAAAACACCCTTGTTTTGCAATGCTTTAATCTCTACCCTTTGGTTAAACAACGTACAACCATAGCTAGCTGCAAAAACACTCAAACAACTAGTTGATCTTGACCTCCTCTTAAGGATCAGAATGAAGGCACGCTTTGGTTGAAGAAGCTCAACAAGCTTCTCACATCAGCTACAAACAACACGTAGAAGGCAAGGACATATTTTAGGTACTTGAGAGAAGGTATTTATAAGCTTTACCTAAGCATAGAAACCTGACAATAGCAAAGAAAAATTCAAAGAATTTTCAGTGTACTATTCAGAGAAATATCAGGCTTGAGAAAAAGTGCAATGGAGAAGAGTTTATATAGGAAGACAACTGGCCATTGCAAGGACAGGTGGTAAGCATCTCTTTATTGAATTTACCTTTATAAAAGTTCAATCAAATGTCAAGATGCCGCCTATCAAAAAGAATAACAATCTTCCAGCATATTGAATATAATTTTGACAGGTGTTACGAACCATGCAAATATCTCAAAAGAGAATATTACAGCTCATGCATACTAGAAGCATAAAATGTGTAACTCAAATAAAACTGCTAGATGTGAGGTGATCACTGAGGTGCTTGCTTGAAACTACAAATAATCAACATAAGGGAAGGTGGCCACCTTAAGTACAAGGTGATAAAATTGGAAGTTTATATAAAATATATTATGCTAGGACAAAGTAAGATAATCATACCAAGATTAAGAGTGACCACTCTAGGTTCATAAGTTGACAAGTAACTTACACATTACTTTTCTTTCTACACTAAGTTGTAAAGACTCAACAATTCAATTAAAAATTTAAAGGCACAAAACAGGCATACTCTAAGAGGAAGCAAAGAACCTGACTGACAGTAGAAAGGAAATAAGTTTGACGATGCTATAACTTTAATGGCGGGGCTGATAGGTTTTTAAATTATATTTCTGTTCAAAGAAAAAGATACATAGAGAGTAAAAATATAGCTTTCCTTTTGTATCAAGCTTGAAGCTTCCTTCTAGAGAAGAGAAGAATTTTCGTAAAATAATCTAAGATTTGGATATCACATAATGCAGAATTTTTAATTCCAGTCCAATCAAATGGACTCATTACTTTGAAAGAGCTAAGAAACTATAGGGTGAAATTGTTGGAGAAGAACTGTCAGTGTGTTTTGGTGATAGTTAGTTAATATGTACTTAGGAAAGGCAACATTGTCATCTAGAGAACGCCTGAACTATGTAGCCAATTTTTAGCCCTTCAACATTTCTTCTTAGGTTGAAAAATGAAGTATAAGGTGAAATTAGTTCACCTATCAATATTTATTTAGATATCATTCCATGATTAGGAATTATCCTTTCCGGATTTACCGCACAATAGCAACTTTACAATTTACATTAATCTTCTGATTATTATCTCTTATTTTTCCTTTATATTTTTATTTTTCAATTTACATTAATCATAGGGTGACAAATTGTTAGATCTTTTAGCTATCAATTTAAATTTGTGTACATTTAGTTAGATCTTGTATCAACATTTGTGATTGGATGTGACAAATTGCATTTCAGCTTTGAATGGCATGCAAAGGAACCTAAAAATAGAAAATCTGTGGTACTTCTTCTAAGGAAAAATATATCTTTCCTTTAGAACAACTACTATTGACAATCATACTTAAGGTGCATTTGGTTTGGGGAATGTTTTATTGCTGAAAAGGTAGGATTACTAGTAAGACATATTGCCTTGAAGATTATAGGGGAATGCTATGTCAATATGTCTAGTTAGATTAGTGGGTATAAATAATTATGATGTTTGGTTGGGAAGAATAAATATTATCGACATAAGCTTTTACTGAATTACCCTTCCTTTTTAATATCATCATAATAATATTATTATTAAATTACTTTTAACCTCGTATATTTGAGTATTTAGCTAAAACACCTAACTACAAGTTTAAATTTTAAGAAAATACCCCCAGCCACCCAAGACCACCGCCAACTGCTGGCCACCACCATCAGCTACTAGCAACAGTCACCGAAACAGTGCACGACTGGCTAGAGTTGGTCGACCATGCACCTTTTGGCTATTTTTGGCCAGATCAAAGGTTTAAAACAGCTTGATCGTCGTGGATCTATCTGGAAATGGCTAGATCCATGCCAATCTGGCTGTTTCCAGCCAGCTTGAAGGCTAAGAACAACCAGATTGTTATGGATTTGTCCAAAAATGACCAGTTTTATTCTGGCCATTTTCAACCAGATCCACAACGATGTAGCCATTTTTGGCCTTTGATATGGCCAAAAACAGTAGATTGGTGCATGGCCGGCCAAATCCTGGTGATCGTATGTCAATCTAGCGACTATTGCTAGTGGCAGGCAATGGTGGTTGGCAGCCAACAGTGGTCTTTGGTGGCTAGGCTGTTTCAGCTAAATTCTCAAATGTAGGGAGTCTAGGCTAATTGTTATTTGGTAGACATTTGAGGACAATTCAATTCGAAAAGGCTTTTATTTAAGGGCAAATTTGGTATAAAAAAGAGATAACCTTGGTAAAAAAAGATTAACAGCCTTAGACTAGGTAATCTGATAACCCCTAAAATGACCAACAATATTCACTATTAGGAAAGAAACATTCCCATAATCTTATATTACTGTCAAACCAAACAAAGGAATGTCTAGAATCAAAGATAGATAATAAGAGTTATCTACCTACAGCCTTAACCAAACACAACCTCACTATTATCACTTTAACATACTAACATGAAAACCATCAGAAAACAGAGGAACCAGAACACAATAAAAGAAATGATGACATGAACCTCAAAAAATGAGACAAGGACAAAGTTAGAAGCCTATTTCATAAACCATTTTGATAAAACTAAACTGCTCAAAAACCAAGCTGAGGGAGAGGGAGTGCTGAAATTAGAAATTTGCTCAAGCTCACTCAAAATTTCGAACGTTGTAGGTCTCAAAGTAGGTGACAGATTAATACACTTTACAGCCAAATCCAACATTTTAAGAGCTTGCTTTTTATCGCAATCTCCAGACATATTTGTATCCACCAAGTTCAAAAGCATTTGCTCTGAATGTAAAACACAAGCCTGCATTAATGTGTAAGCCCTTAAATGTACAATGGAATCTGAAAACTCAACTGCTTGGCTCAGTATAAAATTTGGTCTATTTCCCTCACCTTATTTAAAATATAATCGTTCCCTTGGTTTTCTTTGGTCTTTGAATTACTCTTTCCACTACATATTTTAAGCAGAAGTACTCCATAACTATAAACATCAGCTTTGTTTGTTATTGCTTTCCGCATTGCATACTTAAGTGCCATATATACTCTGAAGCAATAATAAGTAATCATACAAATAGGACAAACAACTTATTCGTTTGATTCAAAAGAAATGATAGATGATTCTTACACTAATCTTATTTCTTCGATGAACTAGTAAATGCAAGTTGATGCAAATAGTATTATTAATTATTATTTTTAATAGATAGAAATAGAAAGTTACCCCCACTATTTTATTAATCCAACTGGGATTTGTCTCCATGTGTGCATTTCCAGTAAAAAAAACCTAAAAACTATAAATACCATGAGTTAGTAAAGCTCATTTACTCATTGAAGAACAATAGTATGAACAAGAACACACTCTGATTTTCCATGTTTTAGAAAGAACAATTTATGAGAAGATAAATTGACTGTGCTCAATAAAGTTATCACATACATCTTACTTAATCACACATTCTAAAAAGACATTAGTATTTTACCTATTAAATTGTTGAAGGTCAAGTCGCTGCAATGCATATAAATAAGATCTTGACAATTTTAATCATCGAATTAAGGTACTCAAATAAAAGATGAATTAAAATTCGTTCTCATGATTTGAGGGTTTCATATGGATCGAATAGATGTAAAACTTATTTTGTCACATTGAAAAAAGTGATCATATGAAATTGTTAAGTTGCCATCCCACCTAAAAGCTTAAGCTTGTAGGTAAAGGGCTCAACATATATTAGACCAATAGTCCCCCTCACATCAAACTTGGATTTTTTTTCATTTTTCTTTATCCAATTTGTATGTGGGGATTCGAACTTGAGACCTTTGGCTCTAAGACCATGTTAAGTTGCCATCCCACCTAAAAGCTTAAGCTTATAGGTGATGGCTCAACATATATTAGACCAATAGAAACAACATAGGAAATTCAAAACAAAAGCTTTTGATATTATTAGAAAAGAGAGAGAGAGAGAGAGAGAGAGAGAGAGAGAGAGAAGGAAATTGACATACAATTCGTCTAAAGCTTTAAACTATTTTCCAATATATGACGGGATTTGACCATTAATGTTGCAATTTCTTAGTACTCTGAAGAAAATTAGTGAGATGAGTCAGATAATAGGTATACAAATTTGCTAGGTAAACCGGATATAATTTCCCTATTCAAAGTGGATACTGTTCACCTATACTACCTATTCCGTATAAATAAATAGTACCGTATACAAACTTGACACATACTAATGCTATTGGAATATAATAACATAGAATACTAAGAGATACAAGTACTAATGTAGAAATAAAGAACACCAGAAATTTTACGAGGTTTGGTATCCTCCACCATTATTTGATATGATCTAAGACTTAATTTCTTCATCCATGGCTGTCTTCCATTTCAAGATTTTTGAACTTCTAACTGCATCTCTGTAAGTGAAAGGAACATCATCATGTGTAATTGGAAGTGTAAAGGCCACCATATCATCAAATTGACAGGTTTACGAATCTCTCGTCTTGGCCTTCTAATTGAAATTGATTCTTGTTGTTGTAGAGAAGCTTGGGTTGGAACCACCTCTTCATGTGCATCCAATTCTGCCATTGGAGGATCACCAACTATGTTAACTGAAGTTATCTCATGCTTCACTTGTTGCGAAGTACCACCTGCTACGTGTTGCTCCTCTTTTCTTGGGAATCTTCATGTGTTACCTTCTTTAGCATGGTAGATTCATCAAAGGTAACATCTTTGCTAAAAATTAAAATTTTCATCTCTAGACACCAGATGCAATATCCATACCAGAGCTGATCCCTATAAAAATGGTTTTCTTGGCTCTCAGATCCAACTTAGATTCCTTTACATGATAATATGTAGTGGAATCAAATACATTTAAGGAACCATAATCATTGGTAGGGTTCCCAGACCATACCTAGGCGTTTTGCCTCAATCGTAGCTGAAGGCAAACGGTTAATAAGATTACATGCATACATCATCACCTCAACCTAAAATTGCTTGCCCAACCCAATGACAGGCTATTCGCAAGTGTACGAAATCACGCAAGTAATAAAGCTCAAGTAATGAGTGTCGAATCCCGAGAGAACTACTACTACCAAGTACCAAACTAACCTATCTTATTTCTATTTGATTAATCAAATTTTAAGAATGATTTAATGAAAAATAAAACAAACTAAAAACTAAACAAAAGCAGAATTTTATTAATACTTTGGTAAAAAATCAATATGACTAAACCTAGGGCATAGATTTTACACCAATTTAATCATATGCATTGACAATTATTGGTAACCTAATTAAACTTATTCTAAAAGTCAAATTCCCTAATATTCCAATAATTTTCTCTCAAACAATTACCAGATTAACCCTTAATCAACAACCTAAAATAGCTCTAAAGTGGATTTAGAAGCTAAGAGATCATTAAGTTTTATGGAATTTACCAGAGCCTTACAGATCGTAGTAACCTATCTCTAACGTTCACTTAATCTATGGTTTTATTACCTTAGACTAATTATGTTTCATCTCTTGATCTCACCCTAACCCATAAAATTATTCAACTCTTGGGCCCTTAAGAATTGAAAGCATTAAGCGCAATAATAAAACTTAGACCAAAACTTAATAAAAATTAACAACAAATAATTCAATTCATATTCATAAAATTGGGCTACATCTTAGCCCTTAAAAATAAATTTAATTCATACTTTGAGTACTGAAAACAACCCTTGTATTGAATAATAAACATGAGATAAAGAAAAGAGTAAAAGAAAACTTCTCTAATTGATGATCCAAAACTCCAAGAATGGATGCTTTGATCTTCCCTATTGCAGCTCTTCTTCTTTCTCTAGTTTCTCTTACCTTCCAATCTCCTCTAAAACTAACTAAAGACCTTTATTTATAGTGCTAGGGCTTTTTGGTTAAATAGGAAAAAGTTTAATGCCCTTAAAAAGTCAAATTCGGACCAGGCTTTAACAGCCTATGCAAGCCCACACTCCATTGTTGCAGTAACAGAAATGGTCACTACAGTGGTCGTGCTTTCCATCCAACGAGTCCGAAATATTCAGAATTTTTCAAAGTCGTCAGAACAAAAATTTTATATCTCTGAATAAGCTTTCCAACGCCACAAGAATCATCCAATTCTGATTCCTACAGCTCAAGTTATGATCAAAACATTGAAGCATGTTCATCTTTGAAGAAATTCCAAGATTCGAATCTCATATTCAAAGCACCATAACTTTCTCGTTTCAACTCCGATTCTTGATCCGTTTGTTCCTAGCCATCACCAATTAAGTCACCAACATTGTGCTTCATTCGAATATCATTTATGACCTGAAAAATACTCAAAATACACCAATGATCCCATAAAAGGTATTTATGAAATAATTAACTCAAATTTTGCAATTTAAACTAATTTTCCCACAAATAATCTAATTGAATCACTAACTAAACATGTATTTTCAAGCTCTTATCACCCAACATTGGAAAACATACATCGAACTTTCTCCAGCAAAATTTGATTCATGCATTCAGCCACCCCATTCTATTGTGGTGTATCTCTAACTATAAAGTGTCAAACAATACGTTCATCTCGACATAGTTTGAAAAATGGATCACTCTAATATCATTCACATTATCTCATCTTTTTCCATTTAAGGAAAATTCCCAACACTTCATCCTTAGTTTTCATAACGTACACCCGAACTCTTCCAGAAAAGTCTTCAACAAAAGTAAAAAAAAAAATAGTGCATACCCTTCAAGGAAGCTTTCTTGATAATTCCCCACACATCAAAGTGAATGCAGTCCAAAATAGATTCAAGTATTATGGATACCAATGCCAAACATCACTCTTGTCTGCTTTCCTAGAACACAGTGCTTACAAAAATCAAAAGTGCAGGTCTTTGTACCTTTCCATAAGCCTTGCTTCACCAGAGTCCCAAACGCATATGCCACAACCTAGTGACATCAAAATCTCTGTCTTCCTCATAAACAACTATTGCTGGTCCAACAATCGTACTACCTTACTAGTAGTACAAATTATTCCTTCGGATGCCCTTGATTGCCATGAGTATGCTTGAAGTTACTTTTAGAATTCCATCTCGTATAGTTACAAAGAAGCTTTAGATTCCAAAGCTCCCACTGAGATAAGATTCTTCTTCAAACTCGGTACATACCGAACATCTGTCAAGACTTTGATTGATCCATTGTGATTCTTCAAGTGGACTATACCTATCTTGAATGTTTTACATGAGTTGTTGTTGCCCATGAAAACAGCTCCACCATTTAGTTCTTCAAAGTTGAGAACCACTTCCTGTTGGGAAATTGTCGAACCGGTCATCACGATCGCAAAATTAATCCTAATTATCGTAGTTAGCAGGAAGCAGAGTCGAATCCACAGGGAGCAATTGCTAGCAACCTAGTGTAAATTTGAGTAACAATAATGAAATTGGCAAATTGATTAATTAAACTAAACAAACTAAATGCAAATAATAAAAGCTTGAAATTAAAACTATTTAAGACTTTATAATAAAAACGTTGCCGCTACGGTTTTGGTTCGACACGAGACCAACTCTCACAATTCTCCTCCACACTCTAAGATCCCCTAAATTTAATATAAATATTAAAAAGTATTATAAAAATAAATATTATAAATTAAGATACAGTACTTAAAACTAAGAATCATGGGACCCTGACTTTATGTACAATCTAGTAAGGAAAAAAAAAACATAAAATTCTTAATAAATGAACAATGGGGTAGGGCGTGGCTGGGCTACATGGGGCGGGATCGTCGAGGCGAGACAAGTTAGGGATTGCCCAATCCCCTTCCCCGGCTCGTCCCCAACGTCGAGGAATTTTATGAGGACCATCCTCGATCTTGTCCCTTATTTCTCGCCCCATTTGGGGTGGGGCGGGCCGGATCCCCTTTGGGTCGGGGAAAACACACATCCTTGCAGATTACCCCTCATGCAAAATGGTTGATTCTCACCCATTGTTTGTCATTCATCTATTGTGGTTTCTTTTCTTCAAGAGCAATATTCAACTCCTGTTGGAAAAGAATGTCTAT